TAATTATTCATAGCTTTCCCTTTCCAATTTTGTAATTTTTATTTCTTAAATCTTAAATTTTCTTTCATTGTTTCATTATTTAAATTTAAAATCTAGGGTTAGTTATTAGTTTTAAATTTGAAATCTTTTCTAATTTCATTCTTTGAGATAGATTGAATGAATGGTTCTATATGTTATTTATTTGATTTGGATGAATTGTTTTGAATTTGTTATTTATGATAATTATATATTTATATTAAAAAAACTGAAAGCTGAAAAAAAAATTAAAAACTGAAAAATTGTTGAATTGATATGAATTTATGATTTATAAAAAAATTAAACTGAAATATAAAATAACAATTTAAAAAGGACAAATTGACGAATTGATATTAATTATATTTATTTATTTGTTTGTTTGCTTGTTTTTTTCAGTTTTTTATTCTTGATTTTACTTAGTAGAATTTATGATTTTGGATTTTATTTCAGAAATAATTCAATAGCTATGGCTCCTAAACAATTATCTGGTAGTCAAAAAAGAAAAAAGAGAAAACGAGATGAAGAATTGAGAAAATCTCAATCTGGAGCTCTATATAAGTTTATGAAACCTGTTGTTGAAGACGAAGAAGTAGAAGAAGTAAAAGAGATGGAAGAGCAAGAGCATCTACAAATAGAGCAAGAACATGTCGAAGAGGATGAACATTTAGAAGAAGAGAAAGAAAATTTAGAAGAGGCAGAAGAACATCTCGAGCCTATGGTTAGTGTAGTGCATACTGTTGTTGATATATTTTATCCAAGAAGATGGGAAGGACTTAATTCTGAAGAGATTAAACTTTTAGTGGAGAAAGGTCCAAAAAGAGATCATAGTATTCACTATGGCCCATACGACAGAGATGGACAAAATGGTAGACGCTTTTCTGCAGCATTATATACAAAAACTTTACCAAATATGGAGAAGTGTGATAGAGAATGGCTTGTATATTCGAAAGAAGTAGACAAGATATTTTGTTTCTGCTGTAAACTTTTTAGAACAGGAATTCCGAAAGGAAAATTGGATGGTGAAGGTTATGCAGATTGGCACCATGCTCATAGAAGAGTCAAAGAACACGAACTTTCAATGGATCATCTCTCCAATGGGAATAGATGGCTTGATATGCGTAAAAGATTGAAGATAAATGAAACAATTGATAAAGTTCAGCACGAGCAATTCAAGAAAGAAAGAGATTACTGGAAACAAGTCATTTTCAGAATCATAGCAATAGTCAAGTTTTTGGCTAAGCATAATTTAGCATTCCGTGGCTCAAAAGAAAGATTGTATCAAAAAGGTAAGGAGTTAAAAATGTTTTACTTTTTAATGTTCCACTTTCATAAAGTGTAATGTTTTTTAATCATGTTTACTTTTTAACAGGTAATGGAAATTTCTTGGGTCTCATTGAGATGTTACAAGAGTTTGATCCTTCGAGAGCATGTGCGCCGAATCACAAATGATGAGCTTCATGTGCATTATCTCGGGCACAAGATCCAGAATGAACTCATACTTGATTTAGCCCAAGAGATTAAGAAGGAGATCATCAAGAAGATGAAGGAAGCCAAGTACTACTCAATCATATTTGATGTTGTGGATAAAGCCATATCTTCTCTTGAGATGGGATTTGAACAATTCAAAGACTATGAGAGATTATTTGGGTTTTTGTTTCCACATAAGTTGAGTGGAATTGAAGAAAAAGAGCTTAAGTTGTTTTGCCATCAACTTGAAAATGCACTCAAGTTTGAAGAAATATCGGATATTGATGCCGAAGAGCTTTACATGGAGTTGAAATCATTCAACACATTGCAAACAAGTGAATTTAGCAATCCCATAGATGTTTTGAAGCATTTAAAAGAACTTGGTTGTTACCAGAATGCTTGCATTGCATATAGAATTTTGTTGACTGTTCCAGTAACGGTGGCATCTGCAGAGAGAAGTTTTTCCAAATTGAAGCTCTTGAAATC